TTAACAGAATCAAGTAGATTTCCCGAAATGACTAGATTGTTATCCTTTATATCTCCTATGTTTGTGAGGTGGTTTGAGCAATAGTTTCGATGTTTTAATGTGTGCAATATTTTGTTGTTGAGCCTTGGGGTAAAAATACAAATCAAGATATAGAAAATTTTAATATACAGATTAAAAAATTATTAGATTTAGAAGTAATAAGACTGTCTAGTAGTCAAGATAGATTGACAGCTTTTATGGTTAGAAATCATAGTAAAATTAAAAAAGGAAAAACAAGAATTGTTATAAACTACAAAACATTAAATAATAATACCATAAAAGATGGATATAAGATATCAGATAAAGATAAATGAATAAAATACAAAATAGCAAGATATTTTCTAAATTTGATTATAAATCTAGATTTTGGCAAATAAAAATAGTAAAAGAATAAGGACAACTTTTACTACTCTATTAGGACATTTTGAATGATTAATCACGCCTATTGAGTTAGAAAATGCACCTTCTATTTTTCAAACAAAGATGGATAGCATATTTAATTCTCTTATCTTTGTTTGTGTATATAAATATGATATTTTAGTACATAATAAAAATCATAAAGAACATATGAAACATTTGAATATAACTTTGAATAAGTTCATATAAAATGGTTTAGCTAAAAGTAAAAAGAAAATGATAGTAAATAAACAAAAAATTGTAGAATAATTATTGTAGAAGGGAAGATCCAGTTGCAACCACATATAGTACAGAAAATTCTACAATTTTCAGATAAAATAGTAGAAACTAAAAAATTACAGGCCTTTTTAGGAATATTAAATTATGCTAGACATAAAAGATGGATAAAATTATATGAAATACTAAATAGTTAAAAATTAATATAGAACATATAGATGGAAAAAATAAATTTTTAACAGATAATTTAAGTAGGCAAGTTATTAGTTTTATAACCCATTATCTTCATGGTGCATATGGATCAAAAGATGATGAACTTTGGGAATGTCAGTCTAAGAGTGACCCCACAAAATTCTAATCTCCGATTCAGATGAAGTAATTTAGAAAAACTAGCAAAAATGGAGTGTTGTCTACTCGATAATCTCTGGATGGCAAGTGACTCTCAACAAAAATCAGACAGTATTAATGCCCAAGCTAATCATTTTAGACAATTTCATAATCAAGTGGAAAATAGAAATTATAGTTTCTTTATAGTAGTTAATGGTAGAAAGCCTGATATATATAATTATTAGCCAGAGGTACTATAAAAGGCAAAAAGAATTCCCTTGTCGGGGGCGGGGCCCCCCCTGCTCAAACCCCAGTTAAACTAAACCTTTTTTTAAAGGATTTTATACATTTGAAAAATATTTAAATTTCTGTAGAGAAATGATAGGATTTAACTTTTATATATCTGAAAGAGTTAGACATATTATAACCATGCAAATAGCTACTTCTCAAGCATCATCTCCATCCTTATCAATACAACTTTGCGATAATTGTGAAACTATAATCAAAATTGTTAGAAATTTGAATCTTAAAATGCATTTATTAGAAGAAAGACTACAGATCCTTGAAGATGAAATCTTTTCATGTCAACAGACTATTAATAAATATCAAAATGACATTCTTCAGTTACAAGGTAGTTTAAAAAGAATTAATTCTAGAAATGCTCTTGAAAGAGCAATTTTTAAAGACATTGCTTCCACAAATTGAAATTATTCTGATAAATAGAAAGACTTATTGAACTAACTAATTCTACAGCTACAGGACAATAAAGACTTTATATGAATTAGAACAAAAAATTGGTAATTGCGCCAAAATTGTTCAAAGTTCTGTATAGAATCAGTTGTATAGGAAATTATCGATTTTTCTCAAATTTAAGCTACTAACACATGAAAATAGATACTTTCTAAAACATGGTCCCAAATACGAATCAATATACTTTCTAAAACATGGTCCCAAATACAAATCAACCAAAAATTCAACATTTCTTAAACACAATTATCCTACAATTTCCTTTGATTATACAATTTTTGAAGAAGAAGAAGAAGACATTTTTTATCTAGCTTTATAGTTTGGTATAATACGTACTATATACATTTTAAATAGTTCTTTCAGATTTTTTTTCACCAAAACTTAAACAGATTCTCGATCAGTTAAAAGATCATCCATTGATGATTCAATTCATTTTCATATCCCCTTTTGTGAATAATGGTATTATAATTCCAACCTAACACCATATTTTAATAGATGAAGGAGCCAAATGATTTATACCCTCTTCAAAGAAATAAGAATTAAACAGGTTGATTATGAAAGACGGATCTTAGAAACCACAGCAATGATGAAAATTCAAAATAATGATTTCGAACTTGTAGCACAATGGAATATCTATATACACAAATTCATTTACGGTTTATCTATATACCGTGAGGGAAAAGATTATCTTGTCTCCGTGGAAGAAGACAAAAGTTGTTGGAAAAACTATGAACAATGAGCTGTTGAGGAAAAAGAGAGAAAAAAAATTAGGCTTTATATTTATAGTGTAACAATAATTTATTTAATTAAAAAGTATATTAAAATTCTAATTATGTAATTTTACTTTAGGATATTTTAGTAAATAAGAAAATTGTGGTGCACCTAGTAAAATTTGTAGTGGTAATATAATTAATTACCCTTCTTATATAACAAAATGTTGTTGGGGTAAATGAAAATTGAAGACATTGCTCTGAGAAAAATGGGATTTTCCGAAAAAGATTTGTGGCTATAGGTACAAAGTTTCACTTGTTTTGCTAAAATAGTAAGAATCGAATCAAATCAAGACCTCATGAAGTGCGTGGTATAAACAAGAACTATCACCCTTCCATTGATGGATCATTTTAGGAAATTTGTTGGAAAATGAACAATTAAAACCAAGGTAATAAGTCTAAATTCTAAAATTGATTTAATGTTACAATAGTAAATAACGAAGACATTGCAGACAAAACAGACGAGTTTTCCTTAAATAAAATTGGATTCATATAATTGAAAAAGATTAATGGTTTGAAAAGACTTAATCGAGTGGTAGAGTCGTATAAAGGCTCATCTCTTTCATGTCTTATATAGATGGAAAGATTTGAAATTTTAGATCAAAAATTGACTCTATGAATTATATAAATAAGAAGGCTACCCTATCACTCTTCCATCCAACCCTTTCAAGGAACTTATTAAAAAACAACTAAATGAAAATCAATTTACAAGTAATAATCAGTATATAGTTGATAAAAACTGAAACTGAAATCATGCCAATTTATTTTCCCTTGCAAAGACTAACTTTTAGAATCGCTGATTGCTAATAATCGTGGGATGGTCGATGTAGAAAACTGAATAGTACTAAATAAGATTTAAAAATTGAAAAAATAGGTTAAAATATTATTGATCCAATTCACATGAACTTTGAAACCACAAGAATGGATGGACCGTTACGAGGTTTCTTTTTTTCTTTTCTTTTTTTCCTTGTTTTTTTTTTGGGGGGG